TGCAAATCAAGTTACACATGGCAGAAAAATCTAAATATACATCTAAATAATTCAAATGAAAAAGAATGGAAAAGCATCTTAAGTTATTCAAACTAACTTATATTGTTACAGTTTATTGTTGAGAACAGAGACCCACGCATCCTGACCTGAAATGCAGATACATTCATGTGCTGTTCAGCCTCTGGCTGCTTAAATTTTAATATGAATCCACAGCTAAACTTTCACTAATCACAGATCAAAGTGGCTTTACTGTGCAAATCACGCTGATAAGCATATGCTTCTAATTCCAACAGATCTCCTTTTCCGATCCACTCCCCCACCTATGTACTTAGGATCAAAACGCGTTAATAAAAACATCTGTGGAGCTTAACAGTGGAGGAAATGGTGATAATTCAGAGCATATGGGGATTATTAATGTTGTAAACCAGAGACAGGAAAAACAAGTCACTGAGAGATGCATGCATGTGAATGTTTATAAACAGCACTGGTGAAGAAGATAGTTTAGTACCCTCCTCAAGCAAAAGTACTGTTACTTTGTCACCTTTAATTCAAGTGGAAGTCACGCACTACTGTAAAATGCATTGCAGTAAAATAAGAAAGGGCTGTTGAAATGTAATCTAGTAGAAGTAATATTTTATTCTTAGAAATCATCCCTTGAGTTTCCCAAGAGTCTCAGAGTTCAGACTATAGAACAGACACTTTGTGCTGTGGTTGAAAGCTGCTTATGGTGAGAAACTAAAAATATGCAGTTAAAATATAATGATCTATACCCCATCTACCTGTAGATAAGAGGTCAGAAGTGTCAGGAATTCAGCAGGTCATATGCTTTGATAACTCGAAATCATTATTTGTTTCTCTGTCAAAGTGGATTTAGAGGAGAATTTCAGTGGTGAACAGCAGAAACTCTTATCCAGATGTTCTTTATTCATCTGCTGCCACTCAAATGTAGAAGCATAGACAATCAAAAGAATTTCAATAAATTGAACTCCCTACATTTATTTCAAAATAACATACCGCCTCAATGACTTGTGTGACATTGATAGGGGGTATTGAAATGTAAACAGTACAAAAGAACATGTTCAGACTTGTGTTTGGCAATATTGCTAAAAATGTACATTACACATATCTAACCAATTTTTTCATATGCAATAAAAACTGAAAGCTTTTACACTTTGCCATCACAAATAAATCAAGAGTCCATGAAGTCGCATGTCCAGCAACATGTCTACAGGCCCATTTGAAGGATAAAGAGTTGACAAATCATGAGCCTGTCTAAAGAGTAGAGTTAAGAATTTTAGTAACAGCCACCAGTATTATTTACAAACATCATCATCATCTACGAGCAACTGCTCAAATCATTAGCTAACCTTTTCACTTTCAATTGCAAGTTAGTTGCCAGGGCTGGACCACATGTCAAAAATATAAACATATCGGTAAAAGCAGTACACCGATGACTAGATGTTGTCCATGATGTTAAATTACACTGTGATGAGAAATTAAGCTGGTACCAGCCCTACTGCTCACATCACTTGGTAACACTCAAATAAAACACATTTCATCACAAAATCACTGATGTTGTGATGAAATATGCAAAACATAACTATAGAATGGTATTTTATATTTTGTCATTTTGTTGTCAAGCTGCTGACAGGCGGGCAAGGGGGGGGGGTCTCTTCCTTGGCATATGCTTGGTCTTCTGGCATCATCCTGGTGCTCAGTGTTAACCGAACAACAACAAAAGGACTATGCAGACTGAGTTCACTACTATTAAAGGCACTATAAAAGCAAAAAAAAAGAAAAAAGTAAATAAATCACATTTCTTTACTATAGAAAGTATTGTTTTGTTATCAAGACTGAAACAGTTATTTATTGGCACAAACATTTCACATGATACCCAGTAATATGGCATTCAAATAATAATTTTTAAGGGCAAAAGGTAACTATCTTCCCAACCTCTCATTACAGTCCGGACTGAGCGGATGAGATGGAGGATCTGAGCCTTGATCCCTGGATCATCCCCAAAACCTCCGACTCCCTGGTCCACACCCCAGCCGACTGAAGACATAAAGAAACCAAAAGGGAGGAGAAGAACGAAAAAGAGATAGGGGAAATCAGAGAGAATGCAATAATTTGTTGGGGGAGAAAGGAAAATGACAATCACCCGATGCTTGAGTTATTTTTTAACCGTTTGACATTATTCCGCACCATACATTTTTCTCTCTGTTCAACAAACCTCAATTTTCTCCCTTCATTTCAACATTAGAGCCTATTTGGAGTAGTAGGCCAATAAGAGTGCATATAGCAAGCTGCTTTTTGCATGGTTTTTACTGTTATTTCAATAAAGCATGAGACGTACATTGTATAAAATACGATTGAATACTTACTCTTGCTGAGAAATCGTTCCTCATGCAGTACAGCGACTGCATTGGTGCAGAGAATAGCGGTCTGAATGAGAGAATACAGTGTAAACGCCATGCTGGCAGCTTATCCTCCTCTTCTTCTTCGTTCAACATCTCTCCCAAGAGATCCATATGCCGTAAACTGGCAGCAGAGGTCGTGCAACAGGAGTGCAGGAAGTCGCTGGAAAGCGGTCCTGTTCAAGTCATAGATGTTTTATGGTACAGTGGCTTCACCTTTCTGTCTCGGGAAATTATCCTTACACACAAAAACGCCTTTAAAATACATTACAAATCTATAAAAGACGGTTGTAGAAATTAGGCCACAACGTTTTATTTTTGGTTTTTATATATATATCTACTTTATGCTGGACTCAACATGTGTAACTTTCCACATCCTTTAATTTTATTTTTCGCCTCAAAAGAGAAAAGAAAATATGCAAGTTTGAAAATAAGATCTTTAAAAAAAAAAAACTAATTTCACTTTAACAAAAACATGTTTAGTCTTGCGAACACAGACTATAAGTCATGGTCCAAAATAAATGTTGGATTTAAAACTGTTTTATAAATATTTTAACTTTATTGTCAGCTGACCTGTGATATCTTTTATTTTTGCTTATGAGGTATACTATGGGTATTTAAATTTTATATAATATTTTAGTCGTCTATTGGGAAGAATAGGGCCACCATGTTAGTCTGATTTACTGAGCTCTCTTGTTACAGCTGTTCAACTTCTGTTTTTGCAATGTTTTACTGCAAAAACAAAAATATTTTTGTAATGTGACATTTATTAAACATTTGGCTTCAGATGCAACCAAGAATTATACAGCGAGCCGTGTGTTGAGTGGTTTTGGACCCAGTAACAATGCAGACTCGAACCCAGGCTAGACAAGAAAAACGTCTTTAATGCTCCGCAAATAAAACAAACAAAACAGAGCTGGTCTCGTCCGCTGATCTCGGGGCAGCTGGGCACACTGAGTTGACTGGACTACTGTTTCCCGGGGTGCCAGAGATCCCGGGTCCGGTGTGTGGGTTCCCCGATGAGGCAGTGCTGGTAGCTGAGCGGTGCGACGTAGGTTGGTGGCGCTGTCCCAGGATAGCCTTGGAGCTCTGAGAGGAGGAGCAATTCACAAAAAGCAGTCCAAAAACCAAAAACTCCTTTAAACGTGAAAAGGGCACGAAAACTGATACAACAGAACAATGCGCAATAACAGTTCACAATGTTGCGAAAGGAGCGCAGATCAAACAATGGTCCATAAACTTGAGACCTTGACATGAACATGAAACGCCGTTACTAGCAGGACAACATATAATAATCTGACGACGAGGACCCACCAACGCTGACCCTATGTACTGCTCCGATAATGGAGAGCAGGTGTGCCTCGTCACCTGGAACGCACCCTCACCTGTGCGGGGGCGGAGCTGCTGGAACTACCTGTGCCTGCTACCGAGGTACAGGGGGCGGCCCGGGTCACGGACGTAACAGCTTATGCTGGTAGTAGAGTGGTGGTGGGTTTTAGGTACAGTACATTTGAAAAACTGAGAATACTGTAAGCCTGTAAACTTCTAGTTTCAAGAGCTGCAAATCATCATAAATGTAAGCTACACAACAGGGATTTCAGAACAATAGCATTGGCTAAAAGGAGTTCATTTCCATAAACAAGTAGTCCTGAATCATGATACCAAATTCTTGTCACTATATAGACTTTTAATTTACACATAAATAGTAGAGAAACTACAAGAACATATTTAAATACATCTGCATTAAGAGTTTATAGTGATAACATTCTTTTTTCTCGGTAAATGACAACTTTATCCACTCATTCATTTCATTTTATAAACAAGGTGGGTGGCTCATTTTTATTCTTTCTGACATACACTGGACTGCACCATCATCAGCATCATGTCTCTTTCAACACTGTGATAAATAACATTTTCACAATCAGGGTGTGATACTAATAAATAAATAAATAAATAAATAAACATAAAGATTGACTGTCTGTGAGGTTCAGTGTTTTCATGTATGATATTTTATACAATTGGGTGAAATCATTTACAGGTAGATATATAAACACTGACAAACTTCAGTCTTTTGCTCCTTGTGGCCCAGAAACTCCTTTAGAGAGCAAACACGTACACAGAATTGGTATTTAAGTGTCCATTTACCATCTGCCAGCACCCCAAACATTTTAAAGACAATTGGTGGAAATAATACCTTTAAATCTAAGTCAAAATGAAACCTGTGAGATAGATAAAACATTTGGTGGAGGTTAAAAAGTACCTTCAGGGTGCCCTTGAACAAAGGAGTTTCCAGCTGTTTTGTCCCATATGCTCAGAATTTAACAATAGAAAACTGTTTCTTAACAATACTCTGTAGATGTGACATGAGATTGTTTTGAGGTAACCGTTCCTGTATAAATAAAAGGTGAAAGCAACATTTGCATTGACCATAATACTGTAGGATTTTTGAATATTCAGAAGTCACTCCCAAATACTTAAGTTATGGGTACAAATGTTTCTGCCATTGTGCAGGTTGCAAAGCCTTTTTGGTGATGCCACCCCAATACTCCCTGTGCTGAGTCCTTTTTTCCCTTTTCTGTTTTTTTTTTTAACTCATCTGGCATCTTCAAGTTAGGTACATCTAACAGACAAAACCTATGTGTATCAAGTCTTCACTAACATCTGATCTCTTCGGTGATGAAGAGACCACATATTGATAATCTTTGGGACTGAAATTTAATTGAAAATTAATACAAGTTGGTATGTTTGTTTCTCTTTGTCTTTTTTTTTTGGTGATACCGTGGCAACAACAACAGTAACAACAGTCCATCCTCAGTCGCAGTTTGATGTATGCACTGCTGGGGATATAGCCGTCATGGTCACAGATTGGAACATCCAGTCTTACTATATCTATGACTCTTGCTCTTCATTTTTTAAGAGCTCTGAAAGGTTCAGAGTTTTCTGACAAAGTCTACAAGTGCCTTCCTGGTGGTCTTCAAAAGTCCTCCAAAAGCTTTAAAGTTTACAAAGGGCAAGGAAGGCTGTGGTTGCTTTGGTCCTAGTCTGGTAAAGCTTTGAGTTTGACTGCTCAGCACAGCAATGAGGAAAGAGCAGGAGTCACTCGTTTTCCCCTGATGTCACCTGTGTGTGTCTTTCAGTTTAGTAGGTTTGGGAAATAAACTTTATCAAGGGAACATGGATGAATCTCTTTCACCAGCATGCTAATCCACAGCAGTACAAACTGGTCCAAATAAGTTTAAGTGCAGGCCTATTAACAGAAGTTGTACTGATGAAGCTGCCACATAATTGTTGTCCCACAAAAAAGAAAGAAATGTCAATGTACTGTATACGCTCTATAAGGTCATATTCCATTCTGTCTGTCTCTTCTATATTTCAGTTTTCAGGAGACAGAAATCCAGGTAGTCCCTCCCCTCAGATGGGATTTCATTGACTGAGCCTGTGGAGACAATAAACACATTAAAATCAAACATTCGTGTCCTGTTCTGGTTTAGTGTTTTAGATTAGCTGGTGAAAGCTTGTGAGTGAAAGAGAACATGCTTTAACTATCAGATGGCTGAAGTCTGCTGTTCCAGGATAATTAATTGCCAAACAAATAAAGCAACAAAAAGCAATTAAATGTCGCAATTTGGCATTAAATCACCCCTTTAAGTAAAAGAAAACTATGTCAGTTTGGGATACTGCACTGTATGTTTCTCCCTGGTCTGGGTGCATAAATCAATTACAAGACAGTTACTGTACCTCTTAGCTACTTGTTGAGAT